AGGGTTTAGGGGTTTAGGGCTCCCTGCCTTATTGGGGAAGTAAGGAGATGCCCATCGATGGAGTGGGGAAGGCCCTCTATCGTTCCATGTGCAGTTGCTTTGCGCGAGACGCCTAGAGGCTAGGCCGGTGGGGGTCTCGATCGCCTGGCTGCGAATGATGCCGCCGTGGCTCATGTCCGGTTGCTGAAAGCTGCCACGGCAAACAACGACAAGATCTCCGGCCGTTGAACATATCGCGCCTCAAAAGAAATCTGCGCCTGCTACGATCCTAAACACTAAACCGTAAACGCTAATCCCTAAACCCTAAACCCTAAACCCTAAACCCTACACCTCGAAAGCCTGATCTCATGGCTAAGGGTGGCTTTGGGTCAGTTTCGCAGGGCCTCTTGGGAGCTAGGATTAGGGGGACCCTTGGGGATATAGACACTCTCAATAAGGTCCCTTTTAAGAGAGCCAAAAGTAGGGTTCAGAAGGGGTACCCTTTAAGGGGTACCCCTAATAATACTACCGACCTCTGAGTAAAGCTCGCAGACTTCGCGTTGGCGTTTCATGGTCTAGAGAGAGCCATCTGCCCAAGTCGGAGCATCCTTACACCCATAGTTTCTAAGTCCCAGGATCCATTAAGCAGAAACCTTAAACCCTAAACCCATAGTTACTACGTCCCATGATCCTTGAAGCAGAAACCCTAAACCCTAAACCATAGTTACTAAGTCACATGATCCTTTAAGCAGAAACACTAAACCCTAAACCCATAGTTGCTACGTCCCTCCTGGGTTCCCCAGATCCTGAGCCCTAAACCCTTAAAGCTGCGATTAGGCCGACACCTGGTGGAAATCCTTGAAGCAAGCCAACAAGGAGCTGACCACGCAAGAAGGCCAGGACATTTTTTTCCGGTGGGCAGGCTTCTTTCTATGAGGCTTCCTACAAAGGGCTTAGGGTTTAGGGTTTAGGGTTTAGTTAGGGTACGCATACGAAGTTTTTCTATGAGGCTTCCCAAACGGATTTAAGCGTTCGCGCCATTTCTATCATGGTTCCTTTTACAGGAGTTCTTATTCTGTACCTGCGTTGGCCTAGCTCCAGCTACTATCAGTATAGGTATAAGCATTAACATTAGCGTTCGTATTGGTGTGAGTATTGGTATGAGTACGAATTCTAGTTTTAGTATTGGCTGTCCTGGAAGGTGAGAGGAGCTTCACCGACCGTATGCGCGAATTCCTGTCGAGCTCCTTGGCCGGATCCGTACTCTCCCAGCACAGACACAGAGAGTGTAAGGGGCCCCTTAAGTATCGACTATGCGCCACAGCATAGGGTTCTCATAGGGGGCTTGATATCATGATGTCGTTCTGGGAACTCAGAACTCAGCCGAGGTTTCATGGCTGATGTGGCGCTGGGCGTGGCTTCCTGACAGCTTTGGCTTGGTCCGGGTTTCAGAAGGTATGTCCACAGTATCAGGCAGGGCTTGGTGCTTTGTCAATCTCGGAAACTACGGGACCATGCTCAACTCTAACTAAGCCCAGAGCCCTAAACCCTCATTCAAAAACCTTCAGGAGGGGAACCCCCCCCGCCCCCCCCAACGTCTGAAACTCCCATTCTGGCCGGCGGTTTCGAAGCTCTGCCAGGAGGGGATTCGTCATGACGTTTCCAAAGGGTTTGCAGCGAAACATGCCGGACGAACGGTGTCGATTGGAGTTAAGCCTTAAGTAAACTGTGGAGCCTAATTCCTTAGCCTCAAATCCCGAAACCCTAAACCCTAAACCTGAAACCCTAAATCCTAAACCTGAAACCCTAAATCCTAAACCCTAAACCCTAAACCTGAAACCCTAAACCCTAAACCCTAAACCCTAAACCCTAAGCCCCAAATCCCAAACCCAAAGCTCCACATCCTGAGCCCTGCACCATCCTG